TGGAGAGCCGACACACGTCCCGCCCTCCAATCCCCCCCCCCCCCCCCCCCCTCCATGTCGTCGGTGTCGGTGTCGGTGTCTCGTCGTGTGCTGGCCTGGTGGGTGGCGGTGGCAGTCGTCATGGCGCTGTGGTGCGTTCTGGCGGTGGACAGCAGCTCGTTGCCGACGTGTGATGCTTTTGATGATCCGGTGGCAGAGTGGTCGGAAAGCCTTCCCTTTGTGGTGGGTGAGTTTGGAGAAGCATCGATGGTGTTGGCTGATATGAATAATGATGGAAGCCAGGACATGGTGGTCTGCAACTCGAATATGGTCGTCATCTACTTTCCTGTCAGTCCCTCCAGTCACTTGCCTGGGCCAGAGGTCATGATCTCGTCCGCAACGTCGTCGCCTGCCTCCCGCGAGTGGACGAGCCTTGCTGTTGCAGATCTGGATGGAAATGGTGGGCGTGATGTGCTGTTTGCCGTCTCGAGCTCGCAGGACATTCGTGCCGCTATGAACGACGGCTCGGGCGGCTTCTCGGGCTCGTCCATCATCATCCGTGCCGGAGCGTACGCCGCGGCTGCCACAGACCGTGTGCTGGCCGTCGCCGACATCACGGGCGATGGGCTGCCTGACGTGGTCTACGCGGACGGCGCGAGCGAGACGCTAGCGGTGTTGGCGCTCGCTACCCAGTCGCCGCTGGTGTTTAACCCTCCAGCGCTGGACGCCGCCTACACTGGAGTCACTGACGTCTCTGTCAGCGACATGGCAGGCGATGGCGGCGAGAATGAGCTCGTTGTGGCACTCGGTAGCTCAGGCCTGGTCTGGCTTGCTCACGACGGAGCGAGCTGGTCCGAGGTCGCCGTCCATGGCGGAGCCGCTTCTCGGGTAATTGCCGGGCACGACATGAACGGCGATGGTCGAGCTGATGTGATTGTTGCCGACACACCATCGGATCTGGAGGTCTCATGGATTGCACAGGGAGCGAGCGGAGCCAGTCTGGAGGATGGCTCGGTTCGAGTCGGCAACGAGGTGAAGCAGCTGAAATTTGGCGCAACTTGTATCGCCTCGTCCGGGGCTTATCCGACGCTTGCGGTGGCCGTTGTGGACTTTGACAGCAATGGGCGACCGGACGTGGTGACAACCTCGGCTTTCTACGGCACCACAGTGTGGATATCGCGAGGGGACGGACGCTTCTTTGTGCCGGAGCGAGTCGTCTCTTCGCCGTTTGTAGTGACCGCCATGGTAGCCAACGACTGGGATGGCGACGCCATGTCGGACGTGGCATGGCTGGGCGGACCTCTTAGTGACTGCAGCTCCTCATCGCCGACCGACCGCCGCGGTAGCGCGATGGCGGTGTATGTGGACTTGTCGACGAACACCAATCTGACTGCGGTGTCATCAGCCGCGATTGCGTCATCGAGTGATTGGCACAGCGTGGTGGCTGGCGACGTGACTGGCGACGGGCTCATCGACATTGTGGCTGTCCGTGGAGTGTACTCAAACACTGGTCAGCGGACAGTCTCACTGTTTGTAGGCCTTGAGGATGGCGGCGTCTCCACGACACCGATCGATTTGATGTCGGATGTCGGGGAGGCAAGTGACACTCACACCTCTGTCGACATGTTTTCTCGGCTCGAGTTGCATGACCTCGATCAGGACGGTGGACTCGACATTGTGGTGTACGTACGCCGTGGGCTCTACCATCCGACGGGGGCCTCTGTGGCTGGCCTGCAGGCCAAGGTCATATGGTCAAACGGTGACGGGACCTTTGACGCCGCGGCCGTCCCGGTTGGCGATATTGGAGGCAACACCGATCCTGGCTTTAATCTGAATCCCATGAAACGGATACACCCGGACACCTTTACGCTCTACGACGTGGATGGGGACGGACTGGTTGATCTGACCTGGCTTGGGCTTGTGCAGAGCAGGATGGGCGGGTTTTACATGCTGACGGTGCGGAATCTCGGCAACCGGGTCTTTGCTCCACCAGCGACGACCGGGTTGATGGCATGGATGTCAGCTGTGGATGCGTTTGGGCGGGGGCTGTCCTGGTCGCGGACGAGCGATGGCCATTTGCGCGGCTTTGGCGTCTCAGCTAACGAGGCCTACTTGTTTGTTAACAGTTCTGCCAGTAGTTCGGGCATCCGCCACGCCTCGACCTACACGTTGGACACGTCTGGAGTGGCTGGAGGCATGGGCAGCCCGCAAGCCGTGGAAATGCTCGATGTTGACCGTGACGGCGTGGACGACATCGTGCTAGCGATGGGGGATGGGGCAAACGGCGCAGTGGTGTGGAGCCCGTGGCCTGGGCTTGATGCGAACTTTGTGTCGCCGACCAAGCCAGCGCTCTCATCGTTTTCGTTGCTCGCCGCCGGGACGCTGGGCGTTCGCCCCACGGCGCTCGTGGCGTGCGACGCCGACAACGACGGACGACGCGACTTGCTGGTTACCTCGCAGCGGCCGGGGACGAGTGTTGGCCTCTATCGCAGTGTGGCGGTCCCGGCCGGGTGGTACTTTGAGTACGAGATGCTTGTTGCTGGGCCTGCGATGTCATACGACGTGGCGATGTCGGTCTTCTCGGCAACGTCTGGCTCGTTTGGAGTTGCCATCGCCGACAAGAATGGACTCCATCTTGCACACCTCCCACATCAACGGATGATGCTGACACTGGATGCCAAGCTGGCGAGTCCTGAGTATCAAGTCCCCGGCTGCGTTGGCGAATACTCATCGACTGCATGTTTTACGCAGACTGTGGCGTTGAGAACCCGGAAGTGCGCGTCGTCGGACGTGGCCATGACTGTGTCGGCCGAGCTGCGTTGTCCGGCGCGTCAGTCACTTGTGCCGCCCTTTGTGGGCAAGCTCACTGTGACCGGCCCGGCTGACATTGTGTGCGACGGATCGTTTGGACGTGTTGCCGACGTCGGGGAGGAGGCTCGCCTTGTGCTCCAGGAGCTGACGATTCGCGATGCGCTGCCTGCGGCGCGGCAGTTTCAAGATGTCACAACGACAGGCGTCATGTACGTCCACGGTGCCAGTTCCGAACTCCGCATGGAGAATGTGACGGTGCAGGGGATCCAGAGCAAGGCCGGAGTCGGAGCAGCTGTGGTAGTGGGCGACGACGGCAAGGTAGGAGCAAGCCGCTGCGGGTTTGTTGCCATCCGCTCCACCGGCGGTGGCGGCGTGGTGGCACTGGTGGGTGCGCGTGCAGTGGTTGAGCTGGTCGGTTGCAATGTGACCGACGCGGCGGTGAAGACCGAGACTGTGAGCCGCGCAGTCCTTTTGGGCGGAGGCGGCGTGGTGCTCGTGGATGGCAGCGATGCGGACGTTGTCTTGAGTGAGACAATCGTCCGCGAATCGCATGCGCCACAGGCCCGCGGCGGCGTGTTGCTGGTGACTGAAAGTGCGACGCGAGCACGCGTGAGCCTGAACGGAGTGGTGATGTCCGAGACGTCTGCCTTTGCCGGTGGCGCGATTGCAGTGACGGTTCCTGATGTCGGCGTGGCGGCGTGGCCTCAAATTGTGCTTGACGAGCGAACGACAGTCTCGTTTGCGTCGGCTACGTACGGCGGCGTGGCAGTGATCGCCGCCGAGATGCACATGCCGTTGCCGTCGTACCGGACGACGCTCGAGTTGGCGATGGGAGTCAGTGCCAGCCTGGGGCTGGGCGCGGAAGCCGTCATCAATGCCAGCATGGCTGCGGTGGGAGGCAGCGCCCAGTACGGATCGATTGTGTTTGGATGCGGTGCGCCGAGTGCGTGGGCAAGTGGTTTGGACTCGTATGGCGCGGCCTTCACATGCTTGGCAGACTCACCGTCGCCGCCGACGTGGTGGCACGACGGCATCGATGCCAATGCCTCGGTCACGGCTCCCAAGTCTATGGCTGTAGCGGCTGGCGTCGGAAGTGTGGCGTCCGGGCTCAGCTTTGGGCGCGGGAGTGTGTCGTACGTCGATGGGTACGGCAATCCGGTGCGGGACAAGCTGCTTCCGCTGCAAGTTCAAATTGTGGGCGAGAGCGGGGCGGAGCTGACCGGATTGGGATCTGGACTCTTGCTGGCAGAGGGAGAGTCGACGGTGTCGCTTGCAGGACTGGCGCTCTCGCTCCCGCTGGATCGACTGGAAGCTTCGGGCGATGCCGGGATCAGCGCGAGCCTGACGGTGTTCGTGTCGGGAGGTGACACATCAGAGCTGGAAGCAACTGTTGTAGTGCAGGTAACGCTCTGCCCACCCGACTACGGGCGGATCTCGCCGGCTCTGGCCAACGCACCGCTGCTGTGTGCGCTGTGCGTGGGGAGTACCTTCTCCAGCGAGCTCACATCTGATGAGTGCATGACGCCAGCCGAGTGCCTGAGCAACGCGGAGCGCGGGCTCTTGTCTGTGGCCAATTGCTCCGATGTGGTGTTTGGCGAGACTGATTGCGTCTGCCTGCCGGGCTTCTACACTCGGAGCGGGAGCATCAACAGCGAATGTGAGGCGTGTCCGTCCGGCGGGGTGTGCTGCGGCTCGAGTGCGAGGCCGCGGCCGCTGCCCGGGTTCTTTGAGAGCGAGCCGGGCAAGTTTGTGAGCTGTCTGCGACCGGCCGCGTGCGCGCCCGAGGTCGGGCAAGTGTGCGCCATTGGGTACGAGGGCTACATGTGCAACACGTGTTCATCGGGCTACTACTCGGATCCCGAGGGCCGATGCCGCAAGTGCCCGAATGCTGCCACAGGCCTGCTTGGCGGCCTGGTCGCGATGGTGGTAATTGGGGCACTGGCAGCTGCCGGGGCGGTGGTGTTTACGGCGTTGCGGGCGATGCCTGCGGCCGAAGACGGGCGCGAGAGCGACGGCAGCGATGACGAGGCGGGCGTACTGCTGCTGGACCGGTTCCGTCGCCGACCTGTACCGGGGACGCTGTCGATGGCGCTTGTTGCGCTGCAGATTGTGGGCATTTTCTCGGAGGCGCGGTTCTCGTGGAGCTCGTCATCGCAGGCGGCGCTGTCGTGGGCCAACGGGCTCAACGTGGACCTTTCGTTCTTTGCGTCCGAGTGCTCGATGCCGTGGTTCCACACGCGGTACGCGCTGTCTGTGCTTATTTTTGCGGTCTTCTTTGGCCTCTCTGCGGTGTTTTTGGCGGCCGCCAAGGCGATCGGCCGGTGTCTGGGACCTGCGCGGGCGGGGCAGCTGGGTCGAACGTCGATGGTTGCCATGATGGAAGCGGTGATGTTTGCGGCGGCGCCGCTGCTGTACATTCCGATGGCCAAGGCAACGCTCGTGCTGTTTGATTGTACCCAGCTCCCGAACGGGACGTGGGTTGTGGACGCCGACCCGTCGGTGGCGTGCTTTGATTCCAAGTGGTTTGCGGTCCTGCCTGTGGGTATCATTGGCGTTGTGATGTACGTGCTCGGGCTCCCGAGTTTTGTGTTTGTGGCGCTCTTCCGGAGCCGCGGCAGGTTGCAGACGAGCGAGTGTATGGCGCGGTACGGGCCGCTGTACAAGGCCTTCCGGCTCGAGTACTGGTACGGTGGAGTGGGCGAGCTCGGCAAGCGACTTGTCATTGTGACCATTGCTACCTTTGCATCGAGGCACCAGCTGGTGCAGCTTGGCGGCCTTGTGGCTCTGCTCGTGTTTGCGATTGTGTTTGTCAAGCAGAACGCGCCGTACGTGGTCCCGCTGCACAACGAGGTCGACGCGCAGATTTCGCTCTGCCTGGTCTCGATGCTGTTCTTTGGCGGGGCATCGTACGCGAACCGCCATGCGGAGTCGCCGTCTCGGGTGGTCGAGGTCGGAACGTGGGCATGCCTGCTGGCTCTGGGCATTGTGGTTGTCCGGGCCGTGGTTCTGGACATGCGCGGGATTGTAGCCGCACGGTCGGATCCGACCCGGCTGAGGCGCGAGCGGTATGCCCGGCTTGTGCGGACGATGGAGGGCGAGAGCCTCGAGCTTGGCCCGGCGGCAACCGACGCGGTCCTTGAGTTTGCCGCGCGTGGGCCGAGCAAGGACAGTCGCGGAGTCATGCTCGAGCCGATGACTGGAACCGTTGTCGACGAGGGAGAAGACGAGGTTGAGTGGAAGGTCGCGCATGTTAATCCGGTAGGAGAGGATGTTGACGAGAACATGGTGTAAAGTCTGATATGCCTAGATGGCGGCGAGGACGGCGTCGACCACGGCAGCCGCGGGGCGGGCGGTGGCTGCGGCTGCGGCACCCGGCTCGTGGGTCGGCTTCGCGGCGCGGATCCAGGAGTCGACGGCATCGACGAGCGAGCGAACGATAAAGACGTCGTCTGCACCGGCCGAGTCAAAGGAGCGGACGGCGGCGTCGCGGTGTGACTTGACGCGCTTGCGGGCGCCCTGGAGGGCGCGGACGAGGGTGGGGCGGGGGCCGAGGCGGGCGCGGGCGCCGCCAACAGAGGCATCGACAAGATCGAGGGCAGCAACCAGGGCCATAGAGTCTGCGACGGCAGCGACGAGGTCATCGGCGACGCCTGCAGCGTCTGCGAGGGCGACGCTACGGGCGACAAGGAGCGACGAGGTGACGAGCGGGGTGAGGGTGGCGCGGTCGGGTAGGGCGCTGGCGATGGCGACGTTCTCGTAGAGCTGCTCCCAGGCTTCAACGACGACGGCAATGGTGGAGGCCGGAAGCATGCCGGTCTTGAAGAGCGTCGACGCGGCGAGCTTGCGGACAAAGACGAGAATGATGTCGAGGACGGCGTCGACGTCGGGGTGAGCGGCGTGGACCATGCGGGCGATGGCAGTGGCGGCATCAAGGGCGGTGGTGGGCGGCGACCGAGGCGGCGGAGGCGGTGAGGCCGGAGATGGAGACGGAGACGGGGACGGAGACGATGGCTTGCGGCGGAGGTCGGCGAGAGCAGCCATGAGCTGGCGGACCTGGGCGGCGAGCTCGATGTTTGCGGTGGAGGACGAGGCGGTGAGGGAAGCGATGGTGGCGGTGAGGTCGTCGATGGTGTCCTGCGCGGAAGACCACTGCTCGCGGAGGACGATGTTCTCGTCGCGAAGCTCGTCGAGGGAGGCAGTGTTGTTGTTGGGAGGCGGCGGCTGGGCGCGGGCAGCCTCCAGGGCGTCGTAGACAGTGAGGAGCTCTGTCTCTGTGGCGCGGAGCTCGGCTAGGCGAGCAACAAGAGCACCGGCGAGGGCATCAAGGAGCGGCGGGAGGGTGGTAGCGAGCGCTTGAGGTCCAGCCGAGATGACAGCGGCAAGGAGGGCGGCCTCATCGGGCGGGAGCGGATGCGAGCAGCGCGAGACCGCGTCCCACAGTGGGTCAGCGGCAGATGGCGCGGGTGAGGCGACGAGGGCGTCAAGGAGCGGCGGGAGGGTGGTGACGAGTGCCTCGGGCCCAGCGGTGGCGACTGCGGCGAAGAACGGGGCAGATGTGTCGGAGAGCGGGAGAGCAAGCGAGGTGACAGCGTCCCAGAGGCGATGCAGTGGAGACGGCCCCGAGTTGAGTGAAGCGAGGAGTTCGCGGGCGAGGTTGCCCGACGACGACGACGACGAGATCGAGTCCGAGTGCGACGGAGCGAGGAGCGATGACGATGCATGGGCGAGCTCCTCGTCGGCGGCGGAGAGCTCGGCGCGCAGGCGGGAGAGCTCAGCCTTTGTAGCGCGAAGCTCGTTAAGCGTGACAAACAGCTTGTTGGCGTGGTACTCGGAGGAATCCGGGGCGTTAGCGTATTGAGCGGCGAGGACGGCGGCCTGCTGCTTGAGGGCGGCGGCGTGTTGAGCGGCGAGGGTGGCGGCCTGCTGCTCGAGGGCGGCATCGAGGTCTTGGCTGGATGGCTGGGCGGTGGGCTGCTGCGTGAGAGCGGGGTCCAGGTCGCGGGCGTTGGCGGCGCGGATGCGGTCAGCCTGAGCGGCGAGGGTGGCCGCGTGCTCAGAGGCGATGATCTCGGACTGTTGCTTGAGGGCGAGGTCCAGGTCGCGGGTGTTGGCGGCGCGGATGCGGTCAGCCTGAGCGGCGAGGGTGGCCGCGTGCTCAGAGGCGATGATCTCGGACTGTTGCTTGAGGGCGAGGTCCAGGTCGCGGGCGTTGGCGGCGCGGATGCGGTCAGCCTGAGCGGCGAGGGCGGCCGAGACGGCCGAAGCGTGCTCCGACGTGAGGAGTTCCGATTGCTGCTTGAGGGCGAGGTTGAGTTCGGTGGTGTGGGCTGCGGCAAGACGGTCAGCCTGGGCAGCGAGGGCGGCCGAGATGGCCGAGGCGTGCTCCGACGTGAGGAGTTCCGATTGCTGCTTGAGGGCGAGGTTGAGTTCGGTGGTGTGGGCTGCGGCAAGACGGTCAGCCTGGGCAGCGAGGGCGGCCGAGACGGCCGAGGCGTGCTCCGACGTGAGGAGTTCCGATTGCTGCTTGAGGGCGAGGTTGAGTTCGGTGGTGTGGGCTGCGGCAAGACGGTCAGCCTGGGCAGCGAGGGCGGCCGAGACGGCCGAGGCGTGCTCCGACGTGAGGAGTTCCGATTGCTGCTTGAGGGCGAGGTTGAGTTCGGTGGTGTGGGCTGCGGCAAGACGGTCAGCCTGGGCAGCGAGGGCGGCCGAGATGGCCGAGGCGTGCTCCGACGTGAGGAGTTCCGATTGCTGCTTGAGGGCGAGGTTGAGTTCGCGCTCGCTGTTGGCGCGCAGTAGACTGGCTTGCTGCTTGAGAGCGCGTTCGGTGTCTGCAGCCATCTCATCCCTGATGGCAGCAGAGCGGGCGCGTTCGTCCTCGAGCTCCTGCCGCAAGCGCATGACTTGGTCTTCAGCGGAGCGCAAGTTGTCATTCTCCCCACGCAGGCGATGATTCTCCTCCTCCATCTCGGCCATAGCAGCCTCTGCCGCCTGCAGCTGGTCCGCGTTTTCCCTCAGCTGAGTGCAGAGCAACACAACATCATCCCGCAGCTGGGCGTGGTGATCTTGCCGAGTCTGATGACCGGCAGGGTCGGCAGTATGGGCCACCTCGGTCTGCGCCAAGTAGAGCGGAGGCCGATGAGTGGGCGACGGGAGGAAACCCGGCGACGTCAACGTGTCTGGGGCAGTTGCCCCCGTTCCAATCGCCGTCGTTGACGACAAAGCCAATGATCTCAATGCTGACGTTGCCGTTGAAGATGCAGGCGGTGTTGATGGAGGCGCAGTTGGAGCGGGGCGATGATCGGCGAGGGGAGGGCGGTGGCTGTAGGTGGCGACAGGGCGGTGGCTGTGGCCAGGGCGGTGGTCATGATCGGTGGCGACAGGGCGGTGGCTGTGGCCAGGGCGGTGGTCATGATCGGTGGCGACAGGGCGGTGGCTGTGGCCAGGGCGGTGGTCATGATCGGTGGCGACAGGGCGGTGGCTGTGGCCAGGGCGGTGGTCATGATCGGTGGCGACAGGGCGGTGGCTGTGGCCAGGGCGGTGGTCATGATCGGTGGCGACAGGGCTGTGGTCAGTCAGAGCAGGATGGTCCGACAGGCGAGTGAAGGAGGGCTCGCCAGGGAGGCGGACGAGCAGCGAGGGCGGGAGGAGGCCTGAAGCCACCCAGTCACAGACGGCTGTTGCCAGGAATGGCCCATGTACACACCCGTTGCTGTCCACGTACTGCACACGTCGTGCAGTGGTCGACATGGAGTGCAGTGGCCGTGTGTATGTTTGAATGCATATATATATATATATATGTGTGTGTGTGTGTGTGTGTGTGTGTGTGTGTGTGTGGCG